TTCCTGTGGGGATAAATATATAGAAATGAGTTTTACATACTATAATCTTAATTTGAATCCAATATGAAATATCTCAACAAATTTAACAAATATGCAACAAGTGTAAAAGAAGACATTGTTAATGAATTACACAAGCCTGCCAGAATCAATTTCAGAAGACGTAGAACCGTAATAAAAGGTCTGAATGATTTAATACAAGCTGATTTAATTGATTTGATACCATATTCAAAGGAAAATAATGGATATAAGTATGTTCTAATCGTTATTAATTGTTTTTCTAAATTCGTATGGACAAAACCTCTGGTAAGCAAATCAGCGCAAGATGTTACAATTGCAATGAATATGATTTTACAACGTTTTAAAAAAATTCCGAAAAATCTGCAAACTGACATGGGAAAGGAATTCTATAATGAGAATTTCAAGAAACTGATGAAAAAATATAATATTAACCACTACAGTGTTTATAGTACGAAGAAGGCTTCGATTGTGGAACGTTCCATTAGAACTATAAAGAATATGCTTTGGCGTTCTTTTAGTTTAGCAGGAGAATATAAGTGGACTCATATTTTAGATAAAATTGTTGATAGATATAACAACACTGTCCATTCTACAATAAGGATGAAACCAAATACAGTTACATCAAGGAATGAGAAATCATTATTAAAGTCAACATATACTCATTTAAAAATTGCTGATAAAATAACAAAATTTAAAGTAGGCGATCATGTGAGAATTAGCAAATATAGAGAAGCTTTTAAGAAAGGCTACACACCAAATTGGTCTAGCGAAATATTTATCATTAGGAAAATAAGATTAACGAATCCCACAACATATTTATTGCAGGATGAGAGTAGTAAAGAAATAACAGGAGGCTTCTATGAATTGGAATTACAAAAAGTAAAACATCCTGACGCCCACTTAGTTTAAAAGGTGTTACGAAAAAAGGGAAATACAGCCGCTGTGACGTAGCCGGCTGAAAGCTATGCCGATCCTGCTCCAGTCGCCATCTTAAATTGTGGAACTGAATCGGCACAGCTGTTCTACTTGTGACCTCTAAATTTGATTATAATGATGAAATTAGAATTCCAATACAAGAACTGGACGCCTACACTTTACCATGCGAAAGCATGCTGTATTTAGAAATAACAAAGGACACCGGTATCAAAGCTAAAATTTATAAATAATCAGTTACCTCTTCAGAGAAATCCATTTTGGAAATAAAAGGGTGAAATGTGAAATTCTCTTGAATACGCACCACGATCAGCCACCATTTTTGACGTTCGGTTACATAATTAACCTAAATTTTGTGTTAATTTTATTACACATATAGCCTAAATCTATTAATATCCATAAGCAAAGAGACATTCATATGCAATATGCCTTGTATTCTAATAAAATGAAAGGGACAATTGAACATATAAACAATTTAGAGCTATCTCAATATTCTCTTGCCTCCAAACTAAAAATTGTGCACAATTTATATCTTATTGTATCTATTTTTGTTTTTAATTACATTTCAAATAACTTACCTAAGTAGGTATTTTAAATCTTTATAATAGTCTGCAACATAATTTATTTTTGTACGTACCATATATCATATTTATCCTTTTACAGTTGATGTTGGGAATAAAAAAAATCTTAAGTTTTTATAAGTAAACTATACCGTAGTTTTTAGCTTTCTCGGAAAGAATTTTTTTCGGTGTCCGGAGCCGAAGTTAAATGGAGGAATTAAATGAATTGATGTTATTCGCACAGAACTTTTGACATAACATTTACTTTTAAGGAAAATTATCAAGTTTTACAAAAATATTAAAATCACATTTTGATAGATAATTAAAATCGTTTTTCTAACAATCACATCAATTTGTTATACTACAATGACAATAAATTTAGAGTCTAATAGTAGGTATACCCAGATCTTTTATAGAACTAACGCTTTTGAATATAAGTAGTGTAAAAACATAATAAAACCTTTTGAAGTGAATACAGTTAGTTAAACTAGAAATTTAACGTTTAACCTCCCTGATAGCACAATCGTGTGCAATTCTAATATGTTGTTTCAAGTTTACTTGAAATAGCCAAATTGTGTCAGATTGTTTTGTGTCTATTGCTGAAATTTATATCGTTTCTTATGCAAGATACTTTTACAAGTATTGTTATAATTTTATAATTTTTTACTATGTTTAATCAGATACCTATCAAGTAAGTTATTGTCAGTTGTCAGATTAGAGAGATTCTAAAAAGTCATAAGTTTTTTCATTTTTATATATCTGCCGTTTGTGATTAGCCCTGTGTTTAGGCCGGGACAGACGGGTAGTTTGTCCAACGGTGTTCAAGAAAGTGACTTGCAAAGAGAGTGACTTGACATAGTTTGTGGCGACCGTGACAGGACTTTGCAAGCGGTTACAAGTCGGCGAAATCGGTGTGAAAAACGTTGTACCTATAACAGTAAATAGAATCAATTGCGAAGAAGTTAGGTATTATGGCTGATTCAATGGAGTCTAAGAAAAAGCATAGGAAAGTGCTCCGATCTTTTGTTACAAAATCGTTGAACGAATTAGACACTCTGTTAACGAAAAGTCCTATCGTGCTGGAGGACATAGAGGTTGCCTGGGAATGCGTAAAGCCTAAGTTTGATGAACTCAGCGCGATGAACTCTGAAGTGTATAATTTGTTGTTGGAGGCACAAGCGACTGAGGAACAACTGTTGTTAGACATTGAACAATGTGAAGGCTATACGAAGAAGTTCACCACACTTAAGTTAAAAGTTTACAAGCTGTTGGAACCTGTAGAGGATGCTGGGTCAGTGAAAGGGTCAGTGCAAACTTCTGGTAGTCAAGTAGGTTATGATGACGTCGTACGAGGTAAGAGAAAGTTTAAGTTACCCGCTATTCAGTTCAAACAGTACGATGGAAATATTAAAGACTGGTTACCGTTCTGGTCTCAGTTCAGGAAAATTCATGCTGATACTCAGTTGGATAATTGCGATAAGATAGACTATTTGATACAGGCTACAGTTGCGGGAAGTCGTGCGCGACAGATTGTAGAAAGTTTTCCCGTGCTCGATGAGAATTATGAAAAGATTATTGACTGTTTGACTGCGAGATTCGGGCGTGAGGACCTACAAATTGAAGTATACGTGCGCGAATTGTTAAAATTGGTTTTAAACAACGCCGTATCAAATGAAAAGCAGGATTTGTCGAAATTGTACGATTTAATTGAGACTCAGTTAAGGGCGCTGGACACGTTGGGGATTACGTCAGACAAGTACGCAGCGCTTTTGTTTCCGTTGATTGAATCTTGTTTGCCACAAGAACTTTTACGAATATGGCAAAGATCGGCTTTTAATTCGCGTGGTTCAGGAACAAATAATAGCGCGAGTAGTGGTAACAATGAACCAGTAGCATCCGTAGGTGACTCTCCATTAGAAGTTAGGCTTGGAAACCTTTTAAGTTTTCTACGCGCTGAGGTCGAAAATGAACAACGGATAGACTTAGCAAGCGAGGGTTTCGGTTTAGCTGATAATTTTAAAACAAGGTCCGGTACGGCTAACCAATCTAGTAAAAGAAATGCGTCTAAATTGTTAAACAATTCGACCTTTACTGCGGCGGGTTTAGTAAATGTCGATGTTGTCAAATGTATATTTTGTACCGGTGTTCACGAGAGTGACAAATGTTTTAAGGCACAAAAGATGACACTAGAAGAGCGCAAACGTATTGTATTAGAAAAAGGAGCTTGTTTTAAGTGTTTAAAGGCAGGGCATATGTCTAAAAAATGTCGGTCTCGCTTGAAATGTATTGTTTGCGGATATTCGCATGTACCACTGATGTGTTTAGGTTTAGCTGAAAAGAAAACATCTCCACAGCAAAAGGAGAGTTCGAGCGAGCAAGATAATGTTAAAAGGGATCAGGCGATGTCCAATCAAACAAGTTCCTACGTGTTTCTACAAACTGTAAATTTTAAGGTTAAAGGTCAATCAGGCATGGAAAGTGTGAGAGCGCTTATTGACACAGGTTCACAGCGCTCGTACATTTTGAAGTCCACTGTATCGTCACTCAGTCTCAAACCCAAGAGAGCGGAAAAAATTGTACATTGCCTTTTTGGAGGAACAGAGATGGAACAAATGCATTATTGTTATGACGTCACAATTTCCAAAGGTGACTACAGGAAGACGTTTGAAGTTCTAGATCAGGCTCAGATTTGTAATGAGGTTTCACCAGTATTTTATGGACCTTGGATACAAGAACTAAAAGTACTTAACGTGGAAGTTTCCGATTACAAAAGTCAAGGTCCAATTGAGATGTTGTTGGGAGCAGATGTAATTGGGTCTTTGTACACGGGGAAAAGACATCTGTTAAAATGTGGACTGGTGGCAAATGAAACTTATGTTGGTTGGACTGTCGAAGGCAAAGTTCCTACACTGAATTCGACAACTATGACTGTAATATCGATGTTTACGAACCCTTCAATTACAGAACTGTGGCGACTTGATGTGTTAGGGATAGAAGAACCTACAGAGAGAAAAACGAAAATTGAAAAAGCCCTAGCAGCAAAAGAGTTGTTTTGTGAGACAGTAATAGTGAATGGAGAGGGTAGATATGAGGTCAGGTTGCCTTGGTTAGAGGGGCACCCTCCCCTGCCCACAAATTACCACATAGCCAACCGCAGACTTCAAACCGCAGTGAAACAACTAGAGAAAAATGGGTTGATGTCTAGATATAAAACAGTATTTGAAGAATGGGAGCGATTAAATATAATTGAGAAAACTACGAGAGGTGATGTTGGACATTTTCTGCCCCATAGACCGGTTGTTAAAGAAGGCTCTACTACGGCTGTTAGACCCGTGTTTGATGCTTCTTCTCATGGAAAAGATGAACCATCGCTGAACCAATGTTTGGAGAAGGGGGAAAATTTGATTGAGCTGATACCTGCGGTGTTGGTCAGATTTAGAGAATATGCGATAGGTGTAATAGCTGACATAAAACAGGCGTTTCTGCAGATAAGTGTGAATCCGAGAGACCGTCAGTTTTTGAAATTCTTGTGGATTAATGAGAAAGGTGAGGAAATAGTTTACATACACAACAGAGTGGTCTTCGGAGTAAACTCCAGTCCGTTTTTGTTGGGTGCCACGATCCAATATCACCTAAAAAAGAGTAAAGAAGATTGTTTATTACCAGGTTGCGAATATGCGAAAGAAACTATAGAAAAGCTCGCCCGTAGTTTCTACGTAGACAATAGCGTAGCAAGTGTGCCGGATTTAGAAGTTTTGAACCGGTTTATTAAAGAAGCGACCATGATCATGGCAGAGGCACAATTCGACCTTAGAGGGTGGGAGTTTTCTGGCAACTCAAACAGCTCGGATGGTATTTCAGTTTTGGGTTTGAAGTGGTTCCCGACTAGAGATATTTTGACTATAAACCCAAATTTACTTACTTGTGACACAGAAAGTGTTGTAACGAAGCGAAAACTGTTATCAATAGCACAAAAGGTATTTGACCCCATAGGATTTACGTCACCTGTGACATTATTGCCCAAGTTGTGGCTACAGGTTTTGTGGGAGAGAAAAATATCATGGGACACTGAAGTAAATGGTGATGTGGCGATGCAGTTTAGAAAATGGGTAAAAGATTTGCCAGAACTTCTGCAGATAGAAATCCCTCGTTGGAGCGAAATTGGTGGAGCAAATCCCGAAGACGTCAGTATACATACCTTCGTCGATGCATCCAGAAATGCGTATGCAGCGGTTGTTTACGTTAGGGTGAAAAAGTTGGACAATGTTTCAGTTCATTTGATGGCAGCTAAGTCTAGGGTGGCTCCGATAGAAAAGAGAAGAGGAAATTTGACGATCCCACGCCTAGAGCTATTGGCAGCGACGATAGGTGCGAGACTTTACACTCAGGTTGTAGAAAATTTGACAGGTAGCTTTGCTAGTTTCTTCTGGAGCGATTCGGCTACAGTGATCTCGTGGTTACAACGCAATGAAGAGTGGGGTACGTTTGTACATAACCGTGTGATTGAAATACGCAAGCTAACACCGAATCTTCAGTGGCATCATATTCCAGGGACATGTAATCCGGCAGACCTGCCATCTCGAGGGTGTTCGCCTAAACAGTTAGTTGAATCGAAATGGTGGGAGGGGCCAGCATGGCTGAATAATAATGTCGAAAGTTGGCCATCTACAAATTTAATTGTTAATGAAGAGGAGGTTAACAAAGAAAAGAAAAGGAAGGTTACGACGTTTATCAATTTAGAAAAGGAAAAGGTGGACTTTCACCTCACGTACTTCAGCAAGTATACCAAGACAGTTAGAATGATTGCTTGGCTGCACAGATTTGTACACAATTGTAGACATAAACAAGATAGAAATAAGAGGGAACTGAGTGTGTATGAGATAGATTGCGCAGAAAAGTTTATTTTTAAGCTGATACAAGAGGAAGAATTTGAAGGTCTAAAAGATAATAAATTAAAGAATCTAAGTCCTTATTATGACAGTGAGGGTGTCATCAGACTGAAGTCAAGAGTCTCAAACAGAAGAGACACTGTTGATTATCGTTATCCTGTGATTTTGACTGGCAGGAATCCGATTATTTGTAGGTTAATTATGGAAAAACACCAGAAATCTTGTCATGTAGGGGTGCAAGGACTGTTATGTTTACTCAGAGAGAGTTATTGGATAATAGGTGGCAGAAGAGCCATTCGTTCGGTCTTAAAGAAATGTGTCACATGTAAGAGATTTGATGTTAAACCTTTTGCGGTAGAGTCACCTCCATTGCCTGGCGATAGAGTGCGTGATTCTGCTCCGTTCGAGATTACGGGGGTCGATTTTGCCGGACCTTTGTATTTAAAATCTGGAGAGAAAGCGTGGGTGTGCCTATTTACCTGTGCCGTGTACCGCGCGGTACACTTAGAACTTACAATGTCATTATCCACCCTTAAGTTTTTACAAGTTTTGAGAAGGTTCATCGCGCGGAGGGGCAGACCCAGAATTTTGTATAGCGATAACGGTACTAATTTCCGTGGGACTGATAACGCTTTCGCGAATCTAGACTGGGACGCTATAACTCGAGAGACTAATACGCAACGAATTTTGTGGCGCTTTAATCCCCCTAGTGCGCCGTGGTGGGGAGGATTTTTTGAAAGGTTAGTTGGTGTAGTAAAGCGCCTACTGCGTAAAGTATTAGGTAAAGCGAGTTTAGGTTATGAAGACTTAATGACTTTATTGTGTGATTGTGAGGCCGTGGTAAATGCTAGACCATTGACTTATATTTCAAACGATCATAATGATCCTGTGACATTGTCACCGGCTATGTTCCTGCGGGAGCAGGCTAGCTGTAACGTTGTCGATTGTGATTTAGTCGAAAAAACATGTCTTACGCGTAGTATGCGAAATAAACAGAAATTGCGTGAAGATTTGAAAAATAGATTTAGGCTAGAATATTTAGGGCAGCTTAAACCGCTTAGAGAAACAAAATCGAACGCGACAATTAAAACGGGGGACATAGTTCTTATAGGTAATGACTCTCACAAGCGCGTTGAATGGCCTATGGGACAAGTAATTGACGTTGTACCGGGTAAAGACGGTCGGATTAGATTGGTTAGAGTCCGGACCTCGCATGGAGAGTTGCTAAGACCTGTACAACGGTTATATCCACTAGAGTGCGTTGATGATTCGGTTGAGAGGAACCATGACGATCGACGAGATGTGGCTGTTCCCAAAACGAAGGTTCCTAGGTTGCACCCTGAGTCTTCTGAAAAAGGAAATCAAGAGGATGTTGCTGATTCATATCGCGTTTGCGGTAGTGTTCGGGATAGTGCGTGGGTGAGAGAATCCGCCGATTACCCAGATCATCCAGGTGATCTTAATGTAAGCCGAAGCGGGCGTAAAATAAAGTGTCCTCAAAGATATTTGTAGTTTAAGAACGTTAGTTTAAGTTAATTGTATTTAGGTGAGAAACAGTTTGTAAAACTGTGTCTCAGGTGGGAGTATGTTATAATTTTATAATTTTTTACTATGTTTTATCAGATACCTATCAAGTAAGTTATTGTCAGTTGTCAGATTAGATAGATTCTAAAAAGTCATAAGTTTTTTCATTTTTATATATCTGCCGTTTGTGATTAGCCCTGTGTTTAGGCCGGGACAGACGGGTAGTTTGTCCAACGGTGTTCAAGAAAGTGACTTGCAAAGAGAGTGACTTGACAAATATCTAACTTAATACTTGCACCAGACTTAACCAAAAGTACTTGAGTCCATAAGTCAACGTGTTGCAGACTTGCTGCAAAACTGAGCAATGTATATGTATATGCAACATAGTCACTTGCTTTAATTTACCCCTTTGCGCTCAAGTGCCCTGAATCAAATCCATTGAAAGCTTTGATCAAGACAATTGCACAATGAATCTTGCACTAAACACAGGTACACAGCAGTCTTGTATAAGTGTCTTGTGCAAGATTGTGCTACCAGGGCTGTTTTCTTTAAGTCTTTTTCTTGATGGTAAACTTGAACTCTGCTTGAAGATCGCGTTCAGTCCGAATCTTCAAAATGTGTACTACAAATATGTCCAGTTGAATGATTAAACAAATCGCGTCTCTTACACCGTTCCACCCATATCTTTCTAAGTTTTTTTCCTTAGGAAACACATGAAATAAAATTTTTAAATTGTCTTGTTTAGCACTATATAAATTATTATTGCAAATTGCAACATTATACCTCACATTTTTAAGTGGTAAATTAATAATTTATATTAAACATTACATCATTAACCTATTGAAAACTATTATCAATAACTAACTATTGCAAAATACCCAAACAACTATGAAAGATTTACTTAAATAGTTTAAAAAATGTAAAATTACTGGTTAAGTCGTATGTAAACAATCTTGTGACGTAGTATAATTTAAGCCACGTCCATAATTTAAGTCTATTACTTGACCGTCTTTTTTACGGACCGTGGTTAAACACAACCTATCAAAGCTTGGTGCAACGTATTTAAATAGTAAGGAAGACTTATCGATAAGTGTCACTTAAGGGGTTGAATTTTCAAAATATCGTTTTTTTTTTCTTAAAATGTAGTTTGAACCTAGAATATGAAGCAAAAAGTTTTATAAATAATTTTTTTTAATGTGCTTTTCCTGAAACGTGTTGGGCGTCTCTCATACGGCTACCTGCACAATGAACATAGGTACTCGCTCGGAAAGCACCGCGTACCTTCTTACCTATTAATTTATAACTTCTCTAATACTAGATGTCGTTAGGAAGTATGCGTGTACAATTCAAGCAAAATTTTCAAACAAAAGTACGTTAGTGTAGCGTCAGTGCACGTTCATGTCTAAAACTCATTTTAAAACTTTAAACGCGTTTTTCTCGAAACACGCTTTTTCAAAACGGCACGCACCAATAATTCCAACAATTTTCAATATTTTCTTTTGAAATTTTAACCATATTTAAAACTTTTTGAAGAGAAACATGTACGGATTTTCCGATAAGTTAATTTAACAATTGTTATAAACAAATAACAATCCCGTACGTGTTTCTCTAGCTATACTCATGTAGATTAAAAGCATTTTTTTGTTCCACCTTGAAATTTGCACTAGTTCTAGTTTTTAAAGAAAAAAATTTTCTGTACACTTAATACATGCCTAATAACATATTTAAACAGTTTTTTCTATTACCTTTCCTTTTATTAAAAAAATTGTCAAAAACACGCTTTTTTAGGCCGCTACAGTGGTGTAATCCCTTAACAAAGCTTAAGATTTATGGACAGTCTGTGCAACCGGCCCACAGTGGGGCAGAATCCCAAAAAGCTGGCCAAGTCAAAATCTTGAAATTTGTTACTCTGTTCTCGATCGCGCTCCTCAATTGCTACGCTTTGTTGTGCGCATGCGCCTGAAGGGCCGACGGACCCTCTGGAAACGATGTCCAGGTAAGTATTAGAGTTTGCCAGGTGTACAGAGTCCGGACAGGCTATCCCGGGACGCATCCCGCCTAAATGTCTATATGACGACGTCGCCCTTTCCGTTTCCGTTCCCACCTGAGCATTAAATGCCCCCTCCAGAGACTCGGTAGAAGTCAATGACTCGCTCAGGCGCTCCTCTTCAACAGTACGTTCAGGCCGAAGCGAACACGCTACCGGATTCTCTCTTGCTGCCATGTTTATTACAACAAATCAATATATATATAAAGATACAGTTCAACAATATAATCAATAACCGTTATTATTCTAGCCCACTCACTAAATCAGTTTTGAAATACGCGAAACTATTTATTCGTGCTGCTGCTTACTTTACTCCTAAAAGTCTTAACTACTCGCTCTACTCATATAGTATCTCCCGAGAATTTACACAGGAAGTTATACTGTTCACAAACTCTACCAAATTTAAATTCAAAGTCTTTTTTAGGCCTTTTCCTATTGACAGTTCAATGTCCCACACACTTTCTAGTCTTTTCCTACTTACCCGCACTACTACAGTCAGTTTACAGTCCACCGATGAATCTCGCCTCGTCGTGGTCACTCACAATGATTTAAGACAAGTTAGGTCAGTTATTATTAATCACACTGTATACAACTTAACTAGAAATGACTTAACTTCCAGAATAGTTCTTTTGGCAGTGGAGCTGCAACAAGTCTTTTACTTTATTTCTATCTTTCAGGTTCGACACTTCTAGAGACGATACTGAAGGTATCGTTGCAAAGTTGGAGATCAATAAGGCCACAATTAACGTTGACACATATATTGTCAGGTAAGTAAATTGTTTATACACTAACGAATTCTTTTAGATTAGACCTGAAACTCCAGGATGCTACATATGGTGACAACACCTCAACTCTCCCCGTGACCCAAGTTGGGAATTTTTATGATTGATGCTTTTTCACAACTCTACAGGTAAGTAAATATTTAACCTTTCCCCTTTTTTTTCCTATTGTTTAGACTTTCCTACCAAAACGAGTCGAATTCCATTGACAGCACTCTCACGTACTGCGACAAGAACTGCTAGTCGTAGCTATCGCGACTTACATATTTATTGGGGACCCATCTCCCAGGCCACGCCCCAAAACGGCGTCTCCGCCAATCCTGGCCTCCGATCACGCCCCCAGTTTTAATAAAACTATTTTCCCAAACTACAATTTCCAAAATATCGCGGAAGTCCCCGCGACCGCGACAACTCGAGGGTTTTTGGGGTCGCTGATAACGAATTTGGGGTCAGAATTACAAAATTCAATGTGGAGGATTTAATATAACCATATCAGAAGTACAAATATTTTTTAAATAGGGACTAAGAATTAAAAGATTATGAAATACAAAATGTCACATTTATCAAGCATGAAGAAGATGTAAAAATGACAAATGACATATTAGACTATTTATATATTTCGTTAAATATGTATCGAGAGTGATTTATTTGAATCCCGAATAAAATTCGAGTTTTTTCATAAAAGAAAAGAATCATCATCTGATGAAAAATCTTCTTAAGTTGAGACAATTTCGTCTTTATTTGCAATCTTCCCAAGTCTTACATCGTCCAGAGAAGGCGAAATTCATTTTACTCTACATTTTACAAAAACCTATACAAAAAGTTGTTAAGCACTTATAGGCAGCTAATTTTTGTTTTAGTTTACAGATAATAGTTTTGTCTTTTTTGTCCAATAAGTTAAATGACAGAATTCTGCAGTATTATTAAACTTTTTTCTTCAAAACTAAATTATTATTTCATTTTATAACGTAATATTCAGATAAGTTTGGTAGCCAATTACTATTTTTTGTAAAAATATTGAGTATTTTAGCCTACATATTCATAATCTACCTACATTTATGAGTTGATTTCATTTTGTTAGAGATAAATCGGTGAACTCTACGAAATTTTATAACCATTTAAACACAACTATTACTTCTGTTCCTACGCGCGAGCAAGATGTTGCTCGAGCAGCGGTCGCCTTTGTAATGATTTAAAAAACAGGTATAGGGAATTTGACCCTAATAGTAATTAATTCTGAGACTTGGAATATTACTCTAGCCAATCCAACAGTAAAAATTACCGAATTAGAAACTTTATTTTTTGACTTTTGGCCAGCTTTTTGGGATTCTGCCCCACTGTGCGGCCCTAAGAGAAAACTGTCATAGTAATCAGTACTTTCGTCACTCATTTTTTATCCGCCAATATTAATTTTAGTTTTTCTATCAGTACCGCAATACTACGTTGTAGAGAAATCTTTCTAGAATAAATCAAAACATAGATTTTGATATCGGTTGAAAATTGCATGTTGGTAGATTTTTGTAATAAAAATTTTGCCCACTGCTTTTTGGGATATTAGATAGTTGTACATACATCATTTACGTTAGGAATATCCGGGTAGATTCTGCATGCTGCATGAATTGTTTATCCTTATATAGTTTGACTAATAGTTCAGGTGGAGTTGCTGTTAATATGAAGTTCTCATCTAGGTCTGAGGCTGAATGGACAGGAATTTGTGAGGACATATGGGTGTCATTGTCTCTAAATCCAAGTGTAAGACAACACGTGTACTGCGTCTACGTGCCACCCTACGCCACTGAGCAAAATCTAATGGTTCATTTGAATACTTTATCTAATATTGTCGAATCGCGCCCTAATGATCGCTTCCTAAACGTTGATGATTATAATGTGCCCAAAATATTGTGAACTCTTAATAATTCAAGAAATTGCTTTATTGCAACCGCTGTTCGTGATCGCCCTGGGGAATGTATTGTTGATGGTTATAGTCTCCTCAACTTCAGTCAATACAATGGAGTGCGTAATTTCAACGGTAGGTTGTTGGATCTAGTTTTTAAATCTCTTACTGATGCATCATAAATCTGAATTTTATTGTCAATTTCAAAGATGTGTAGATTTAAAAATTGATTTCTTATTCTAAATTTAAATTTCACCATGCTAATTATGACATTATTAACAGGGAAATTAATGAAATAAACTGGCATGATTTGTTTTTGCATGTTGATGTCAATGCCGCAGTAAACCGTTTTTATAGTATTATGCACCAGATCATACGGCGCTTTGACCCTCAAAAAAATAATAAATTTCCCTTATGGTGCTCAGCGAATACGAAATCCTTTTTTAAAGAAAAATATAAGTTTCATCGGTGTTGGAAAAGGTTTACAAATAATTTGGATTATGTAAATTTTTCTAACGCTAGGAAAGCCGTAAGACTCGCTATTAACAAGGATTATCGCGATGATGTCGCTAACACTGAAAATAACATAAAAAAAAAGCAATTGCAAGTCATTTTGGTCTTTTGTAGCAAATAAAAGGCAAAATAAGAAATTACCCAATACAATATCATTCAATGGAGACGTTTTTTCTGATGATGAATATTTCCAATGCTTTCTCTTTTTACGTTGGTAGTGTTTATGAACTCTCTTCTACATCTTCGCCGCATGGCGCACGGACGGACCTCGGCATCAGTTAAGATTCCTAAACGGACAGGTTGCCTGACTTTCTACGTCAGTGGGTATGCCGATCGCATCGCGTACTTGATAAATACATCGCGGTCTGTCATAATTTGTGTTGACTCGAGAGTCTGTACAGTTGGCGCCACCCAAATGTGAACGGATTTTGGTTGTTATGGAAATTTCATCTGGATTTTATCGTAGTAAATCAGACTTTTTTTACTGGCGTAGCACAGAGAGGGTATTCTGATGGATAAATTCGAGCAAGACATTGTCTTCCGCGTCACTGGAAACCTTCCCGACACCTTGCCTGATATATTTTTGTAATCTTTGTTCTTGCCAGCGTTATTTAATATAAAATATACAATTCTTACTGATATTTAAATCAGCAACCACTTCACTCACAGACCAATTATCTTCTAATTTAGCTACAGTCTCTTTGCGCCTCAGTTAAATGCTCCTGCATATTTCACGTTACTTGTTTACATTTCATTATGTTTGCTCTAAGTGACATACATTTGACAACTATTGAATTTTACGACGACCATGATTTGAAGTTTAAATTACACGGTACAATATTGCCGTTCACATTTGGATGGCGCCGACTGTACCTACCGCAATCTGTTAAAGTTTATCGTTTCAAAAATATATCATTATTGGTGTGATTAATATTCTCTATTGAATCTTCTGTGAAACAAGATAGCTATAACATAATTAAAGTATCATTCAATTAATTCAATGTAAAAGATCAGCACAATGTGGCAGTGTGTGCAGATTTATACATATATGATATAATATGCAGTAATGATACATGGTAGTCTGTGCTGTACATGTTTTGTTGTTATGCATTTTGATTTTGGATATTTTCTGTTGTGATGTATTATTTATTTGTTTTCTTATAATTAAGCAGCTATTAAAGTTGTTAAGGATACTCATTTCTAAAATTTTGTGGTTCGAGAGGTTAGTAGAATCAATAAATCATTCTGGAATATTTTCTTAAATATAGATATTTTAGATGACTACGGGACAATTTGCAGTGTTGCTACTAGCAAAAGCAACTTTAAAAAAGAAGTTTTTCGATTTTAAGAAGGCTTAAAACCTGGCTAAGCTCGTCAACTTCCGAATCCCGACTAAATGGTTTGGCGTTAATGAATGTTCACAACGACGTGAACATTAATATTGAAGAAGTAATAAATATATTTGCATATACTGGAAGAAGACTTGAATTATTATTCCATGATGGATAAATTTTTGATATATTTTTTGTGATAGTCTGAAAATGTTTAGTTCCTTTTTTTATGTGGTACAAAGTTTTTTTATATCTACCCTTTTATTTTGAGGTAGGTACCAAATATAAAACCATTATTTATTTATTTATTTATTTACTCTTAAAATATAAATAATATAAAAAACAATATATTATAAATATAAACAACTTTTATAACTAATAAACTAATATTTTTATTTTAAAACCATTTTGCTGCAAATTTTAAGAATTTTTTTTTAGCCCCCCCCCCCAACTTTACATTCTGGTTACGCCACTGTCCTCTAATGTTACAAAATCTATGCTTCATCCCATAACGTGCATAATTGATATAAGTACATAAGTACATCTGCAATTGTGAAGCGTCTAAATAAACTTGGCATCAGTAAGGGTGCGGGTCCAGACGGCCTGCCGGAAATATTTGTTAACTCTTACAAAACGTTGCTTTTAATACCTCTTTACTTAATTTTCAATAATTCACTGTCTGAAGGTGTGTTTCCTAGCACCTGAAAGAGGTTCGTGCTGTGCCCGTTTATAAAGGAGGATGTTAAGAGTGATGTAACTAATTATCGCCCAATTTCATTATTATCGATTCCTACTAAGATATTTGAGGCTATTATTACCGAGGAACTTTTCTTCCAATATAAAAATCTTATTATACAGGGTGTTTCAGGATTATATGCAAACATTTTAAATACGAATTGGGAATCGGAAAATATGAAAAAAAGTTCCTATGGACATATGTCCGGAAACGATTCGTTAAGGAGTTACGGTCGTTTAAAAATGGCGGTCAAAATCGAGTTTAAATTTTTTTCTCAAATTTGAACAGATAAATCCTGAATTTTGGTGCAGTTATACTGATCGAGGCTCATCTAACCAGTATTTTTTCGTTACAATAATCTTATTTGGAACGGGTGAAATCAACAACACGCTGTATATTTCCATGAAAACATTTGACTCGTTAGGATTTCAATTGCTGCAATACATGTTTTGTTTAATTTAGAAACTTTTTCATCTCTTTCATCTATATCATGAAATAAGTAGTTTTTGAGTAAAAAAATAAAATAAAATTTTTGTTTGTAACGAGCGTTCAAATAAAAACGTGGTCAAGTTGGTTCTGAAAATTTGGACGTAGGGCGTAGCGTATAGCAAATGAACTTAAACGTCATCTGTCAAAGCGCTATATCGCCGCTATCAATTTGAATATTTTCGTTTTAAAAAGCGTTTAAAATGGTGTTTTCTCAAGAACAAAAAGTGTTTATCATAGAGTCCTACTTTAGAAATGGACGCAAGATTGATGGAATATGGAAGTATTCTATTGAGGAATGTTTCATAGAATTTCAAAATCAATTTCCCGGCGTTGTTGAGTACAAAATTTTTCAAAGTGCAGTTCAGCGTTGTGTTAATGTTTTTCGTGAAACGGGCAGTGTAACAAGAAAAGAAGGAAGCGGCCGACCTAAAAAGCGGACTGAAGAATTAAAAGAAAATGTCCAACAAATAATGGAAAATGCGCCAAGAACTTCTGTACGTGTTTTATCACAAATGGTGGGAGTATCAGTCGGTACCTGCCACACAGTGTTAAAAAAAGATTTGCGTTTGTTCTCCTATCGTTTAACTTGTCAGCAAGAACTTCATGAAGTTGATTTTCCGCGACGGGCTGTATTTTGTGAATGGTTTTTAAACAACTACGGTGAACTTCATAATATCACCTTTTTTTCTGATGAAGCCTGGTTTCATTTAAGTGGTTACGTAAACTCACAGAATATGAGAATGTGGTCTTCTGAAAAACCAGATAACTTTTTTGTCGAGGGCCCTCTACACGCTCAAAAAATTGGAGTTTGGTGTGCTCTCAATCGAAGGAGGATTTATGGACCTATTTTTTTTAATGGTACTCTTACTGCGCAAAGGTATAGAGAAGAAATTATCGCTCCTTTTGTTAACCAGCTGGAAGAAAACGAAATTACAAACTTTTACTTTCAACAAGATGGCGCAAGGGCACATACGGCAGGCGAGACGATGAATATGTTGAGGGAAGTTTTCCAAAATCGACTAATAAGTCTCAATGCTGAACATGAATTTCCACCGAGGTCATGTGATATTACGCCGTGTGATTTCTTTTTGTGGCCTTACCTTAAAAACACTATTTTTGAACTGCCTATTCCTGATTTAAACCATCTGCAGGCTCGACTTATAGACAAGATTCGTGAAATTAACAATACCCCGAGCATCTTAGAAAATGTCTTTAATTCTTTGAGGAACAGGTGTGAAAAGTGCTTGGAACAAGGAGGGGGACACTTTCAGCAGCTGCTTTAATTTATTGTTATAACAAGGAGGGGGACACTTTCCGCAGCTCCTTTAATTGTTTGTTATTGTTATCACGATTATTCTTTAAAATAAAGTTATATAGTCATTAACGTTATTGAAACTGACAGACGCTATACAGCTCGTTGAGAAATGAGGTTAAGTTTGTCGCTATAAGCTACTCCATACGTCCAATGTGTCAGAGCCAACTTCGACCACGTTTTTATTTAAACGCTCGTTATTTCAACGAGTAATCTAATTGGGTGCCCTGTCTAAATAATAAGAATGTAACATGTAACATGAAATAAGTGCAATTTATTATAATTCTTTATTACAATCAGGTAGTAGGTCTCAGTAGATATAAAAAAAGATACCTGCTGACGATTAATTAATATTAATAATAATGAAAAATACTACAAGTAACCAGGGACCCGGACCTTAATGCAATAACGGTACCGGTCCGGTTACGGTTCCGTTAGAAATGTACCATTTCGGTTTCGGTTCGGTTACGGTCCACTAGCTGATATTTGGGTCCGGTTCTGACCGGTTTTTTCGGTCCAAAAGGTTCTTATCGGTTTTGCCTTGTGACGTAATATAATTACAATTATAGTGAAATTCTTCCCAATAATTTTTCCATTCAATTATGCATTTGTAAAATTCAATACTTAATAATTAAATTAGGTATAGTCACTGCAAAAGTATGGCAGCGGAATATTTTAGATATCAATTTATGTATGAGAAGTAATTTTCCTCATTTTTTGGTTACATCAGTTTTCAATCAGTATAAAAATTCTTAGTTATTTAAATTTAAAATAATGTATTTATTGTATCATTCAGTACATTTTTTACAATTTTTTTTTAAATAATTAGTTAATACATTGTCTTGGCTGTTATATGACCTTTTTTTTGCCCGGACCTTGACCTAGATACTATTGATTCCTCATTGTCAGTTAAGTCTATTTTCTCTTCCACACTTCCCACTTCATTTTCACTTGTATCTTTTGTGATTGCAAAACTGAAATGAAACAATCATTAAAAAATAAAAATTTTACATAAGACTTACAGCTGCTTTTCTTGTTTATCCCCAAAAATTCTATTAGTTCTAACAAATAATTGCTGTTCCAGAATTTTGTCCTTTATATTAAATCTAGTAGGAGGTAATAAAAACTTAAGGCCAGAGAATAAGCGTTCTACGCTAACCTGAGTTGCAGGTACTGCTAACAATACCTGTGAAAGCATATACAATTCAGGAGCAATACTTTTTCTTTTTTCCCAAAATTCTAATATTGTTGAATCTTTCGAAATCCGAACTCGGCCTTGCTCAATTTGATAGGAGTTTAAAATATTTTCAATTTGAATGTATGTATTGCCAGATGAATTTTCAAATTCCTTGCTGAATTTATGTTCTGTCTCCTTCTTTTTTAAAAAAACCTCCATCTCATCATTTGAGGTAGTGGTATCCGATCCACTATCTGAATTTGATTTATTAGTTACAGAATCCACAGTATTACTTTCTTTCAATGTTAACAACCTGACCCACAGTTGTTTCAAATGTTTTTTTGCCTTTTCCATTTGCTGTAAGTTTAAAATTATTTTCAATCGAGGGTCTAAAAAAATTCCTGCTATAAAAACGTCATTGTTAAATAGATTATTTTCTCTTTCTTCCATATTCTTGACAATAATTCGTGCAAATTCCGATCTAATTTTTTCTGTCGTCAACTTACATTCCTGCCAATAAACATAGAAAGATCCCAATGTCAACTGTTCATACTGTAATTTTTTTGTACATTTTCTTGCTGGTTCTAAAGCACCAACAATTTCATAAATCTTGTTCCAATTAGAATCAGACATGTTTTTAAATTTACTGAAATTTGTAAATTCCATTTCTGTACAAAATTCTTTCAGTTCCAGCAATCGATTCAACATGTCAAATGTTGATCCCCATCTAGTTGGACAGTCAATGAACGGTTTTTTAAATTTTTGTTTCCGCAACATATATATATAAGTCTGTGTTCTTAAAATTTTCACTATTTTTCTTGCCTCCAAAATTAAGTTTTTAACCTCTTCGTCTTGTTTCATTGCATTTTCAACTGCTAACTGTAATGTATGAGCAGCACATCGCATACCTGTAGAATATAGTATATTAGATTAAACAGAAATTATAAGAAAAATTCATACCAGTCACATTCAACTTCACACTTGGTGAAGTTTTCGAAGTAGAAGGAACATCATTACTAGTAGCGCAATCGTCCCTGAATAGGTCTGAAAAAATATTATATCCAAAGTCCAACTCCATTTCTGTGACAGAATTATTTTCTACATTTTCATCTTCTATGACTATTTCAATTACTTCTTCGTCACCACTCTCATCTGATTCATTTTCAATAACTTCATAATCCCCATTTTCCGATGCAATAACTTTCACAGCTTTAAGCAAATTTGTACCGTTGTCAGTTGTTATAGTATAAATTTGATCAGCACTAATTTCAAAGCTGTTACAGACATCCATAATTATCCTCTTTAAATTATCACCTGAGACAAAAATTTCACATAAAAATAAATAGAACACACGTAGATACTTAACCGAAATTGTTTTACCTGTATGTTTGTTATTAATTTCCTTTAATGCCAAAGTTCTTAATACTATGCAACCATTTTTAGTATATTGAATGTTTATTCCCAGAAATGAGCGATCTATTCGAGTAACACCATCTACTTTTAATGAAACCATACGATGTTTTACTTCTTCCATAATTTTAAGTTTTAAGTCATTCGCTTCCTTGGATACATATTTTTGAATGCATTCAGGTGATAAAGAGAATTGTTTGTCCTTGATTTTCTTAAAAAGACCTGCTTTTATCGGTGTCAAAATTTTCTCAAATCCAGAATCTGCCATCAGATTAAAAGGTCTCCCATTAACGGTTACAAGTTCAACACATGCATTAATTAATATTTCTTTGGATATTTCTATTTTAATAGTATTTATTTCACCTACAGTAGGTTGATTAGATTTTTTGGATGATACCCTAGTTAACGTAGCTGCAAACAGTTCTTCAGTGAAATCATGAAATCGCATCAAATGTTTTCGTAGCATGATGACCCTAATTAAGAAAAAATATATATAGTATATAATAGTCGTGGAAAATCAGTACAACTTTGCTTTCCATAAACGAACTTAATAAAATTACTCACCTTCATTGTTTCTTTGCATATTTTGCAAATTGATATGTCCTCTGATGGAACATATTTAAATTGTTCGTGGGCTTTATTAGTTAATTTTCGGCCCATTTTTGTAATACAATAATGTAAACTACACCCTAGATTAGAGAAGTATAAACTACACAGTACACACACAATCGCAAAGACAGTAAATAAAAATGGCGTTTGTACCACAGAGCACGACCTTTACAACCCCATAAACTCCAAACCCACAGATTTATAGAGAATAATGACTCTTCCAACCAAACGTCAGCAGATAAATCCATAGAAACACAACCACAACGGAAACTTTAGAAGTACCGAAATTAACCCAAAAAACCGTTTAAATTTTTTTCGATTCGGGTTCGACACTTGGAATAGATTATAACATGACATATGTGTTCAGTTTCGGTTCCGGTCCACAAAAAAATTACGGTTCTGGTCCGGTTTTCTGTTCAAAAACGGTACGGTCCGGGTCCCTGCAAGTAACTGAAACATTGAAAACTTATTTCAGAAAACATTTTGTTGAAAATTATCCCCACCAGTTTGAAGGCAAGCGCGGCTTCTCCTTCTTACTGCGATAGTAGCTGACCTACACTGCACTGGTGTCAATTCTTCACATGCAGAAATTATTCTCTGTCTCAACTGATCAACGGTATTAATTTGTACTTCATATACTTTCTGCTTAATGGCACCCCATACAAAGTAGTCCATTGGCGTCAGATCTGGTGAACGAGGTGGCTAAGCAACAGGTCCACCGCGACCTATCCACCTTTCAGGATAATTAACAATTGTCTGGAGCCTCTGGCATAATGTGCTGGATAACCATCTAGTTGAAACCAACTATTTGCCCTAATGTTTAAGGGAATATTGTCAGTAAGATCATAAATATCATTGTTTAAAAACTGTTGGAATCTATTTCCATTAAGTGAATGAGGTAGAAAATGCGGACCAATCAGAGTGCCGCCTAAAACAGCTAACCAGACATTGCACTGAAAATTGTGCTAATACTGACAGTCACAAATTGCCCTTGGATTATCATGTGACCAGATGTGAATATTTCTTTGATTAAACATACCTTTTCTGGTAAAGGTAGCTTCATCTGTCCACATAATTTTTTCCAGAAAATGTGAATCACTGTCACATTTGCTTAAAAACCAATCACAAAATACTCTTCTACGAGGTAAATCAGTGGGTAATAAATGATGGACGGGCTGCAAGTGATAAGGATGGCGTCCATCGGCTTTGAGTGTCCTCCATATAATAGTAGGTGGTATCCTTAGTTCAGCACCACTTCGTCTCACACTTGTAGATGGTTCATCATCAAAGTGGCTAAGTATTGCTGCTGTTCTTCTATTATTTTGCAGAGGCGCAAATAATCCGTCACCATAATTTGAAACAAAAACTGATCCAGTTTCACGTAATCGGTTAAATGTTTCCGTAAATGTTCTGGTTGTTGGTAACCTCCGATTTGGATACCTAATCGCATACTCACGGCGGACTGAATTGGCATTTCCATTGCAGAATCCATATATGTACACAATATCAGCGTATTCTGCGTTGGAATATCATACAATCAAGTGATAGAAAATACTCTCTTAATATAATTTTGATTAATTACAAATTAAAAAATATCTACTCTTATCTTCCATCACTACAAAATAGAAATAAAACAACTAACAATGCCAACATTAATTAATATCAACGACAATCAGAATTGACAGCAGCCTACTATGCCATTAAGGAATTATGATATACCTATTTAATGTGGAACACTGTTACAAATTTTATTTTTTTACTCAAAAACTACTTATTTCATGATAAAGATGAAAGAGATGAAAAAGTTTCTCTCCAAAAGATGTATTGCAACAATTGAAATCTTAATGAGTCAAATGTTTTCATGAAAAATATACAGGTTGTTGTTGATTTCACCCGTTCCAAATAAGACTATTTTAACGAAAAAATACTGGTTAGATGGGCCTTGATCAGTATAACATCTGGACCAAAATTCAGGATTTTATCTGTTTTCAAATTTGAGAAAAAAATTTAAAACTCGATTTTGACCGCCATTTTTAAACGGCCGTAACTCCTTAACGAATCGTTTCCGGAACTTTTTTTCTTATTTTCCGATTCTCAATTCTTATTTAAAATTTTTGCATATAATCCTGAAACACCCTGTAGAGGAGCACATGGTTTTTTCCAAGGCAGGTGGGTTACTACTAATCTTGTATCATCATATGGACAAAAAATAATTGAAATTCTGGAAACCCAAAATCAGGTAGATGTCGTGTATTCTCTAAGGCCTTTGATAAAGTACACCATCCCGCATTGTTTGTAAAGTTGGAAAATATCGGTATACATGGGAATCTATTAAGACGGATAAAATCATATTTAACTAATAGGTGCCAATGTGTGTTAATCAATAACTCTACGTCAAATTTTGTTCACGTTACGTCAGGTATATCGCAGAGCTCTCATTTGGGACCATTGCTCTTTTCTTTGTCTATTAATGACATTGGATCCTATTTCCGCTACTCTGAGTATGCACTTTATGCTGACGATCTGAAAATATTCTCAAGAATTTCATCTATTGCTGATTGTCTGAATATTCAATCTGAACTCGACCGTTTCGCCAATTACTGTAACTTTAACAAATTGTTCTTGAATATTAATAAATGTCAATTCATTATATTCACCCGTCTAAAAAATAATATTTATTTTAATTATAAAACAAACAATATACTCTGCTTGAAAAAGTAAATTTCATTAGGGATCTGGGGGTCACTTTGGATTCTAAACTGTCTTTCGAAATTCTTGTTGAATGTGTTTTGCGTAAGGCTTTGCGTAATCTTGGATTTATTTTACGTGTAACTAAATCCTTTCGTGATCCCATGTCCTTGATCTTATTATATAATTCCATGGTCCTATTTCATCTTGAGTTTACGACTATCGTGTGGAATCCTCAATATCTTAAATATATCGAACGTTTAGAAAAAGTCCAACAAAATCTTATAATTTGTTTTTTAATCATATCGACATTTTCAACCTCTCTTTCAAGTCGGTCAGACGCTAAGCTTGTTTGGTTTTCAATTGAATGGTTTTTCTCTTCTCTTTTTTCTTATTGTGCTTTGTTTTTTGTTTGTTTTTCTTTCCTTTTTTTCTTTAACCCTTAATCATATCATTGTTAAAATTAGGTAATTATTGATTGTTTATTTATGTATATTGTAACTTGTTATTCTTATTTAATTTTAGTTTTGTACACGCACTGCTATTATTATATTATTATCTATAATGCACCCTTTAATTTGTATTATTTATCAATATATTGGGTTGCCAAATCTGTAAATAAATAAATCAGTTCGGGAGTTGTATCGCTCCAGGAACAGTATGTCTAGCTCTCGGTATGTTGACAGCAAATTCTAGGGATGATTTCATATCGTCTTATCCAAAAGTGCTTACCAAGCTACTCTTTGAAGATGACCCTTTGACATTTTTTTTAATTGTTCAGATCGCTGTTTTTCTAGAAGGATCAAACTTAAGTTATGTGTTAACAGACAGTCTTTTGATGCTCTGAATGATCTTTTAATTGTAAATATAGGCGTCATATTTGGAAGGGTCAGCTGATATTTTTAATTATTTTTTTATCATCGACTTTTTGGTATTTTTAATATCAAAATCGAAAACTTCAGAGTATTCTAGATTAAAGAGGTACTTTTATCCTGAGTGGTTAGGGTGTTACCGCATGTGATAAAATCTATTTGAAAAGTTTGTGTTTTTTTGCACGACAATTAGAAAATTATTAATTATTTGCTAAATAAAACAGATAATAAATAATATTAAAAACTGGCAAAAATTATAATAAATCCATGATTAACATATTTTAAAATGATCTACATGGTGGCCATTACTTTCACTGCATAAAGTGATTCGTTTCTCTAATGATTCTCGAATCCTTATGAATCCCTGTTGTTCGTAAACTCATTACTAAATATTAAATAAGACGATTTATGTCAAATCGATATGAAATCATACCTAGAATTTGCTGTCTTCATATGTCAGTTAGTTTCAGACATCCTGTCTAACCATCGTCTGATTTCGCTGTGTAGTTGCTTTCTATAAATTTACACGCTTTCCGATTCTTTGGTAATTTTTGTGTTCGCAATATAGGTACCGTGAACTGGGGCTACTTTGATAATTGCGGGGCAAATTTGATAACATATGTCCGAACTTTTAAATTCTTAAATTACTGCGCAAGCACACATTTCTTGGCGCGTTTGAACACATCATATGGTTTTCAAATATCACACGTTTACGAGAGTGTAAGCCTTTCTCATACTATAAGGTAAGAAAGTTTACTTTTATCGTTTATGTATTTTACGAAACCTCAGAAAATTTTGGTACACAGCTAAAGGGTTTTATTTTGGATCAATTTTCATTATTTTATATGAAATCTTGTTTACCTGGGATGTAAATATCATTTTTAAATTTATTTTAAAGTCATAATCAGACCCTTTTCAAATGCTTCGTGGGGTAACTTTGATCGCCTGATATGGGGCAACTTTGATTGAAAATTTTGTAGAGATGTAAAGTGCCAATTTTTTTATTCTTACCGTTTTGCTATCGATAATTCTAACAAAGCATGCAAATTAATGCCTAGTTTAAGTTTATTTAATGTCTAGTTTAAGTTTATTTTGTTCTTTTTGAGTCTACTTCCATACCGATAGTTCTTATATGTGTGTTCAAAGCAAATTAATGTTTATTTATATATTTTTCTAATCGAAAATATACATTATTAAGATAAAAGCGTATTTATTTCTTAATTTCTGGTTGGTTTTTACACAAATGTTATTTTTGGGTTAGTTGTTAATATATTTTTTATTTTTTATTAATTTGGACGGGGTTTCATTGAGTTTAAGGGCAAAATTTATCATTTATCAAAGTTGCCCCAAATCCAGTAAAACTTTGATCAGGCCTAAATTATTTTTTTCTGATTTTTGTGAAAGTTTATTGAATGCCTAATGAGTGCTAAGATTTAACATATAATTGTATATATACTTCCCTTTTTTTTTCAAAATATCTCAACTCTAGTGAACTACAGTGAAAAATTAAAAATTTATTGATCAAAGAAGCCCCAGTTCACGGTACTCATTTAGGCGGTCTAAGAACCACTTTCTTCGTTGCTCTTTCATATTTGACTGAGTTCGCGGTGGCAGTTCCCTCCTGTGGTTGGTTCCGCTGAGCCGGTGACAACGCACTCAGCGAGAACCCTTTTTTTGAACGCGAACGCGACGCACTTCTTCAGCCACCTGTCCTCACGGGGACCGACCGGACGTAACCCGACTACATCGTGCCGACGGAGCACGAAGCAAGTTTACTTTTTTATAGAATCGTTTTCTTCTTGCTTGGGCCTACTCGCTTCCTCAAAGGCGTCTTACTGTCGCACCCCGTCGTAGGAACGGCGGCACTGTTTTATTTCTTCTAGGGCTTACAACCAGTGCATAGTCTCACAGTCTGTTGCTCCTGTTCTCGCTTCTGTGGTGCCAGACAGCCATAATTCCTTGCAGGCGTTCGGCAACGGCTGAAAGACTCCACTGATGAAATCCCTTCGTTGTAGCACGCGCATGCCCGAATTATTAGTTTATAGTCCGCAATGAAAATTACATTATTATTAATAAGAGAAGTCATACCACCTGCACCTGCTTTCTCTTGTGAAGTTGTTGACGAATTCTTTTATAGAGTCAATTGTTGGCCAATGATCAGACAACTGACCCCAGGTATACCTCAGTCACGCAAATAAAATAGCTAAATAAAAATAAACGCGACCTGGGATGATGAAAGTTAAAGTGAAAGTTAAAAGTAGACGTGCGTCCACACTCTGACTCGACTAGACTCTCTCTGTCCAGAGCAAGTGTTCGAGGCGGAGTATTTAAATGCTCGGTCGAAAAGACGCGCGACCCTTCGATCAATGGGATGCGTCCAAGCAAAACTCGTGAAATTTGCCTGCGGCGACACCTTCCTCGTCGGGTATACCAGGCCTGAAGTTGTGCTGAGCTCCGTTAATGCCTTTTTTTTGTGCTTATGCATCAGCTAGCTTAAATACTACCTGCAGGAAGAGCTAGCAAGAAACCTACAGGAGTAGGTTTTTTTGTACATTTATTTTTCTTCGGCGAGAATGAGGGATGTATGTTCAGGGTCTGCGGTCATAAAGGCATCCTCGACCAGAGCTTCGGTGGCGGCTGGCGATAGAGGCGCTACGGCGGCGGTCGGTGTCCCTCTTGGCAGAGTCCTCGGTAGGGCCGACTGGGATCGCTGGCTTCTAGAAATAACTAAAACAGACAAGGTATTAAGCGTATTTACACTATTTTTGGTATGCAGTACAGATTAGCAAAAGCTAAAGCTACATCGTGCAAATTAATGGATACAGCTAACTACTGTAAATAGTTTATGTGCAGCTTGTGCAAGAAAAGGTTACGTGAGTTCTAGTGTAGGCAAAGGCGGTTGTTTTTTTCAGTCGGGGCCCCCGGACCGAGT